CTAGAGATTGATGTTGTAATTGTCGACTCAAATTTGACCCTCGAACACGCCCGACGTTTGCCGACCTACTCCGGAATATAACACCAATCGAACACCAGTCACTCATGGCCAAACTTTCCGACTACCCCGAATATCTTAAGCATTTTGAAACATTCTGCTGACGCTGGCGAATAGTAGCAGCCGACCACAATACAGCTATACAAATCGAATTTGAGTCAAATTTGACTGCAAACCATGCCCGACCAACTCCCGAACACTTACAACCACACACACTCTGACCACTCCTCACCAACTCCCGAACACCAGCCAACCATGCCGAACTTCCCGTCTACACCCGAATGTAAACATTTTGAAATATTCGTCTGGTGCAGCCAAATAGTAGTCGAACATATCCGAACACCAGCGGACCTTGCTCCCGACTTACTCCTAACCATGGTTGCGGGGAGGTCGGGAGGTCAAATTCGGCTACATGTATGGCTTTAAGCTCTCCGAGCGCGGTCTCATGAATTGGTTCTCACGGTATAACATAATGGGATCAAATAATGCAATGGATACAACCAATGACGTAGACAGTGTACGTCAATGCTCAAAGATTATCAGTCAGTGAAACATATCTTGATACTTATACAAAGCGAGCTTTAAGATTAATTCAATTATCCTAATAATCAACATGATCCTACAAGTCGACGAAGTCATTGCCCTGAATGAGGCTATCCGCCACCCAGAGAGTGGGATTAGATCCCGATAAATGGAGGGTGTCACTTTGTAACGTGGGAAGGTGATCTTGTGGTTAGAGTTGTGGTTAGATCCTGAAGGTTCTGGGTTCGAATCCCGAGCAGGCCTCAATGCTGTGTCCTTCTTGAGAAAGGCACTTTACACCTATTTCCTCACCCGAATAATGACAACTTAGCTTTGGGACGTCCTCTCGGACAGCACGTAAAGCTGGAGATCCCGTGTTAGAGGAAAGATACACCTTGAGCACGTTTGAGTAGTCCTTCCTGTTGTGAGTGATTCAAACCTTACAGTGGTTTAAACCTTACGCAGTTTGTACTTACTGTACACAACTGCTGTGTTACGCCAAAATGCGATTTACCGGTTATGCGAAACAAACAAACTGTGAGACACGGTTTATGAACGGCGAGAAACTGCAACACGGGAAATATGTTCTCCTTGTTATTCGACCTCCAACTAGGTTGAGGTTCCTTCCTCTCACGGAGAAAACCAGCTAAAACGGTTCTAGAAACTGGTCAACGTCATAACCTTAGCTAGGTTAAGACTATAACTACCATGGTAACAGCAAGCACCAGGATACCCCCAAATACCGTGAGAAACAAACGTTTTCAGTCTGAGAAAGATCAAAAGATTAACATGTTTGGTAAAAACTTACTGCGCTGAGTTATTCAGAACAAAGTCTCTATTGAGGCTAATTTGATGATCCAATAATCGCCATAATCCAGTGGTAGATCAATAAGGCCTTGTCCTGAACAGGACCATTATTCACGTTGATATAAGGGTGTATAAAAGGTGGAAAAGCTAGGCAAAGAGGAAGATCTATTCCTAGTTCGTCCACCGGTATCTGGAAGAAAAATTCTTTTCCTCGGGGAGAAGGAGGATTCATACACCATGACCATGCCGTCCGTGGCAATCGTACTCTGCCTGTTGGGGCTTGCAGGGACGGGCTGCCTCGCCGCTCCCAAAGCAGGCAGCAGTGTCCAGAAGAAGACGAAGGATGATGTCGACAGCATCCAGACGCTGGAGAAGATCATGGACGAGAAAATCGAAGAGATAACAGGTAAAGCCCCTGTCACGCATAGCCGACTATGGTCTCCCGAACACTTCTCGAACTAACCAACATCATGGTTAGGAGTAGGTCGGGAGTTAGGTCTCGGCCGCGTCGGCTACTGTTTTCTGCGCACTCTTACTCTCCAGAGGTTTGGACAGTGGATGGTGGTTTGAGTGTTTTTAGGCTATTTTGTCGGGCTTTCTTTTTTGTACTGGTATCTTTTCTTTGTGCTAGCAGTGCAACGCAAGAAAGCCTAATAAAAAAGCATAAAACGCGCCAAAATAATCTAAAGTCCAAACCTCTGCTTGGAGAGTACACACTCTTGAGTTAGGTACTTATGGAACTGTAGCTATGTACTAGCAGTTGCTTAACTTCGTACCTTGTACAATCGCTGTGCAGTAAAGTTTATGTTATGTCATAACCGCAATTATTGTCCCTGTTTAACAGGAACCGTCAAAAAGCTGGGCAAACAGATGGACGACATGAACGACAAGATTGAAGATCTGGAGAAACGGGCGGACGGAGGTAAGACTTTAATGTCCCTGTCACACATAGCGGAATATGGCCTCGCGAACACAAGGCGAACTCCCCCCAACCATGGTTAGAAGTAGGTCGGGAACACACGGTGGCGAACAAGGTCACCTGGTTCGGTTGGTGTTCGGCCAAATGTTTCAAAATGTTCGGGTTGGCTAATGTTCGGGAGTTGATCAAGGCGTGGTTTACAGTCAAATTTGACCCAAATTCGATTTGTTTAGAGGAGAAGGCATGACCTAAATCTGATCAGACTGCTTTCGAACTTTAGCCAACCTTGATCGGATGGTGTTCGGGAGAAAGTTCTGAATCCAAACTATGGTACGTTACAAAACTCCGCTATCCCATATGACTGATATTTTAAAAATGGATGCCTAAAATGTACTAACTTGGTTAAACTACTAATAGCGATGAATGGTAAATGATGTTTGCCATTGCATAGCGACATTTTGTGACTTATTCAGACTTTGAAGGAAAATAAAACATTTTTGGAGAATTAATGACTAAGAGGGTTAGGGTATGTACCATTGTAAATGTAAACAAGCTTACTTATTCTAGTGTTTAGTGTAGTGTGCGACTGTGAGATTGTAAGTATCAGCACAATGAACACACGTTGACATCTGCCAAGTAGAATTTTGACTAAAGTTTTCAACCTCTTGATTATTAGTATCATACGTTGACTTCATGGTATTTTTTGTCGTCTGTGTACAGATAGCTCAGAAGAAAAAGCCCCCCCTCGCCGTAGACCCCCACATCCGAAGAAGAAATTCAAGGAAAGGTACGTAAATTCACTGACAATGTCACGCGTCTCATCTATATACTTAGCACTGTTGACGTTTTTTGCCATCTTTCGATAGTAGTGCTATATCTATGTTTTTCCGGATAATAAAGGGAAATTATTTGATATAAGATCAAATGTGTGACAGCTTGATTCAAACTATCATACAATAATCTTAGATAAACCATACATACATACATACATACATACATGAAACATGATCTGTTTAAAATTTCCAGATAGTCTTATGTGTTGATTTCTTTGAGCAGCTATTCATTGTGATAAGGGGCTTATTTCGTTGTTTTGAACTGTCTTAGTATCCCAACGCTTTTCCTTGAGATAATTTCAGTCAAAACAAAGTATGTTTATACATCTTGTATATCTTACAACGAGAAACGGAAAATAAATGCTTAAATGATACACAAAAGTGCCATAACAACTATAACTAATGCTAGTAAGGTATTTGAACATTTTTTGTAGGCAGTAGAAGATGAATTATAATATTAACACTTTGTATGCTCTATGACTTGTGTACTATGAAATTATGGTATGAAACATGTATTGTAATCCATAGTGTCACACCTGAATGAATTACGAGTAATATTCCATTCTATTATGTAATTCAATTAGGTATTTCCCTATGATCATCCAATGTGGTTCTAAGACTGTACGTATACTTAAAACACGTCCAGGATGTCAGAAATCTACAATTTCAATTTTTGTTGTTGTTAACTCTACAGCAATGGAACAATGGAAGGTCCCCCACGAAGACGTGGAGACGGCGGTCGAAAACGAGGTGGTTGGGGTAGAGGCAGGAGCAAAGATGGACCGAAGTCATCAGAGGAGACCGATGACAGCTCAGAAGAACGCTCCAGCGAGGAAAGCAAGGAGAAACGGCGCAAACATCCACAAAAACGATGGTGGGGACGGAAGGGAGAAGACGACTCTGAGGATGACGATTCGGATGGCGGGCGTGGTAATATTTTTGGTAGACTGATGAACTTCCGCCGTGGTGGGTGGGGGCAGAATCGGTTTTCGGGCCGACAGGGAGGGGATGATGAGAGGGGACAGGATAGGGGCCATATGGGAGGTGGCTGGGGTGGTTGGGGTAGAGGTGGTAAAAAGGGGTCTATGAGGGGCCGTGATGAAGAAAGTGACCAAAATGGTCGAGATTTTTGGAGGGGTTAATCTACATGTAGGCAGTTCATCTGGACCTCAAAATGTGGCAACAATGGCGATGATATGTTTCATGATACCATGATAACACAGTACACATTCCAGATTCCCACGTCTTAACACCAAGGGCGTTTTGGGCACCCCTAAACACCATGAGAACAATAGATCACAGTGGATAAAAGTTTGAGCACTAGGAGACTTCGTTTCGACGTTTACAGGTCGAGTGACGTCTTCATTTAGCTCTGTAGGATACTGTAGTAGGAAGTACATTGCAATTTGAGTGCATTTGAGTGCATTTAATGCAACTGAACCTTTGATCCGGACCGGTTGATGGACTATGATTTGACTACTGATGTTTCTTGTTGTAACAATTCAAGTATTCACAACTCATGAGATGTAAACACATTGATATTAGAAACAAAGCACAAATAAAAATGACAAGAAGTCATAATAATTGTTCTTGTCATTATTTACTCTCGGCTACAACAATACGCGGTACATTAGTTATAGGTATGTATCTATACATTTAGTATTTTCAATGCTATTTATTTGTATACGACAAAAGCAAAATACATACTTATAGATAGCAAATACAGAGAAGGAAAGGTCTCAGGAATTTAAAACGTATGATGAATTGTTCTAGATTCCTCCAATTTCACTTGATAACTTTACAAATAAAATGATAAAATTAATAGGTATAACTGAAAACATAAGCAAATAATAACTGATAACATAATTATAAACTATACACTTATTACACTATTGCACCATGGGTAATGATTTACACCATTATTGAACTGTACACATTCCAGGTGACCACTTCTTATAATTACCACGACTGAAACCCTTTATCACTGCCAATCCATCCCTTCTGAGGATGAAAAACATACAGATACCTGTGAACCCCCCCAAAAAATCCCGTCCCATAAATAATGATTACCACGTACGTTGACACAATCTCCAACCGTTCTAGTTTCTTATTAACCTCGAAAAGGGTACTATTTCCCTGCAATTCTAACACAACAGAAACGATCAACGATGATGTCAGGGATTGCTTGCATCACACATCTGACGAAGGTTAACGAAATTGACCGAAAATATATGATGAGTCCCCTTTTTCTGTTCGCACAAAGCTTGAACTTTACACCTAAAGAAGCGAGCAATTATTGCCCAACGCCAGGATTTGAAAAAAAAGTGTGTCTAAGTACATGTCCACCATTTACAGATATTCTTGATTATCCAAAACTAAAAGGTACCACATAAACGATTCTCAATGTTAATGAAAGAGAACGTATTTTCCACAAGGTAGTTTGTCCGATTTTGTCTGACCTTATGATTAGTGATATAAGATATGACGACTATATTATAGCTGCTCGGGAACCCAAAACGACATCACCTCTTTCCAAGCTTCATCCAAAATTCATGAGCCTAGCATGTCCAGATCATGAGATACCAAAAACTGAAAATTCCTCTGCAGTTCCATAACAAGCCGCTGGGAGCCTAAAATCTAATAATTTTGGCGTCTCACTAAAACCTATCCACCTTGAGTTATCATGCTAAGACACCGTGATACACACACACATACACACGCACAAACAACGAAATATATGACCTGGCGAATGTAACAACTCGAAGGTAACAATTCATAACAGCAATCGTGTAGACTGTTTCAAAGTTCCAGGGAAACAGTGAAACATTAGACATTTAAGCTGCCGTGAAACCCAATTAGGGAAACCCGCACGGCCAGTGCCATAATAAGTATTAACCGTGCCGAAGAGGATCAATGATTTTACTCATTGAATCATTTCTGATTGAAAGAGCAACGTTTTCCTCCAAAATAGTCGATTAGCACCATAAGCCTGTAGTAGCTTATTAATTCCGTGTCCTGAATGAAGTTAAATACCACCCAGAGTGTTGTTACAGCACCGCATTCTCACGACATTATATATAAACGTTGAGAAACCAAGATAAGAGGCAGATCTGGTCGTACTTTTCAACCGACTAGGCGAAAGGTTTTCTTACTAGAGGAGAGAACAACAACAGGAGGCCATGGCCAGGATGATCCTACTCCTACTGGTTGTTACCGGTACGGGCTGCCTTGCTGCTCCCAGTGCAATGGCGCCTAAAGATGGCAAGTTGATTCTTCAGCTAAATGAGCGAATCGACGACATCGCAGGTGAGAGATCTATCGGCGATACTAATTTCCGCCTTGTATGCTGTCTTTGGCACTTGAAACAGGCGAGGCCAAATGGCAGAACGGCAAACCTTAAGTGCATCACTATAAGAACGATTCGTAAAACAATGTAATGTTTCCTGTCGAAAAGGATTTTTTTTTAGGGTTAGGCTTTTCGACCCGGGTTCGAACACGAGCTTCAGCTCTATTTTTTCACTAATATCTTTACTGTTTTTCACAATGCTGTCGTATACTTGCAATTGAAATATTGCTTTGTAATAGGTTGTTGCTCCTCAATAAAATATAATACGCTCGGATATTAATATTGATATGTCATCCACCATTCAGCGACAGTTTCAAATGACAACGACCGTTTACGAGACAAAACAGTTACTCGTTCATGTCGTGAAAACCCCAAACTTTCCAAAAGTCTTTTAAAGTTTTCTGTACAGCGTACTTATACAACAACCTTAATCTACACAACAAACGTACTGTAACTTTCGTAAGGTTTGCTACAACTTGATTTGAAATCTTTCACTTTGGAGTTGACTGTATATACAATGTTGGAATGTTGACAACCTTGCAAGGGGCCTGTGGTATCAAAAACCATATATTAATCTAGTCCTATACCTGGATGGGTTAAAGTTAGGATCAGGCACTGTTCTAGATCACCCCCTTCGATCGCCTTCCACGATAACTATCGTGGAAAGGGGACCACCTTCCATCGATACATATCGTGCTAGCCGAGTCGGCCGGTCCTACAGCCGACGCCTTCCACGATAGCACAGCGATTCTCATCGATGGTGACATACGCTGGCTGATCAGGCGGGGTCACCGCCCCAGGGTATGCTGGGAAACCCAAAACCAACGCCGCGCTCGGCTTCGGTCTCAAATCACCACCACAGGTACGTATGTTTGACTTGAAGTTTGATGGTTTATAGTTACTCTTAATGGTACATTTCTACTTGGTATTTCAGTGTGATTGTATGCTACCCATTTTTGAATGCTTTATGCGAAAGTTGAGGTTAAGGTTCGCCTGGAATTTTACCAAAAGTTTCCAGGAAATATCGAGGCATGGGGGAGGGGGGTGGTGAGGACGACCTAAAAGTTTCTACAAACTTTCTCGATCACTTTGAGTGCCTCTGTTCTTGAATATATAAGGTCCTAGGGTCAGATTTCCTGCATGGTCGGACCCATTCTGCGGTTTTGGGAGAGACTTGCGTAATTATGCGAGAAGAGACGGCCATCTCAGCCGGGCAGCTCACCTAGCTATAGGAAACCAGCTATAGTATGGTCGTAAATTTAACGTTATATATTCTCGGTAAAATAAATTAGCATTTGGCTACAGAAGAAAACTAATACATCTGATTAAACAGTATAA